CACTACGTCGTGTGCAAGCATATTGCTCTCAGCTTGAAACGCGATACCCCTCGAACCTGTGGTGAACGTACAAGCTTGTATTTACGAGGCAATAACATTTGTTCGCTGTACACTTAAGCCGATAATAACCGGGACAAACGTTAGCCACGTACGCTTTGACAACCTGGTGTTGCGGTGATTTAAGCAACGAAACGGTCCACTGAACGTCTTGCGATTCCTAGCCATCAAAATTTATGGACGAAATGGTATTTCGTCGCGTAAGAGACTAGGCTTCTTTGATTCTAGATATGGTTGCACGAAACGTTGTTCTGTTTACATTTACAATAGCGACAGGTCGACACGCGTCTTATTTTCCAATGAACTCTTTTCTTAATCAAATTCAACATTCCATTTTCATAGGTATTAAATTTGTATAGCCATGTGAATCAAGCGCGTACCATTTAAATTTCATATTATATGAAACTAATTATTTGATTTTAGAATTAGATATGTATCCTTATCAGTCTCTTGAAAATTTCGAGAAATATTAGTCTTTATAATAGTAACATATAATATTAATCTGAAAATGCTGGAGATAGAGTTATTAATTTTGAAAAATTGTTAAATATCAAAATGTAATGCGTAAATGAGAAATATGGAGGAAATCTTAATAAACGAATATTAATAAAAGATCAAATAGAAAGAGACAAAGAGATGCATTTGGTTTAATAATAGAAATAATATATCGAACAAGAAACGAGGCCAGGACGAAGAAGGAAAATTGAATGTAATTTTCAGCAATTTTGCGCGTAACATCGTTTATCATAGTTAGCCCGCAGATATTGCATGCAAATACGGCGTAATTTATCATTAACCATGAATGTACCTAAGTTCCTTGAATATTTGCGTAATTATTTTGTGCGAAATTGGGTCATGAATACAATGTTAAATAACTCGAACCTTATAATTATTGCACCAATCATTTCTACGAATATTAAGATTCCTTGATTTTCCGTCTAAACTATGATATACAGGGTACAAATGAAAATGCCTTAGACAACAGATAATTGCTTGAGCAAAAATGAATTAAAAGCTTGAATGAAAAGAATGAATTAAAAGCTTACAATTTCTTCATTCAAGATTTAGTAAGAATTAATTTTCAAGATCCGCTACATGCAGCATTTATGTAGTTTTTTTTACGAGTTATTGGTCTGGAGCAAGTACAAAGAAATGTATTTTATCAACGACGATTTATTTTATCTATTGCAAAGACAGACAATTTCTCGAGCAAGATACCACTTCGTTTTCAATTTTCGAAAAATATTACATTTTTTAACGTGTAATTAACACTATACCTAAATTATAGTTACAAGCTACGAATACTGTTTTACGGAAGACAAACTATTCCCTTATGATCTCAAAAGCGGTCACCAATCAGGTTCCGTTTCACCCAACTCTTATCGCGGTAACACAAAGCACAGTACCAGCAACATTTGGAATCGAGCACTGACTAGAGAGACAGAGAGACAGAGGAAGAGGTGGAGAGAGGAAGAAAGATAGAGAGACAGAGAGAGAGAGAGAGATGAGAGAGGTCCAGAAGGTCCTTTTGTTAGTTCCACCGAAGGAGCGGCTACGTCGAAATTCAGTAATTGCTTTCTGGATTGGCTGGGAGCGCGGTGGGAGTTTAATCTACCGGCACTGATCTCAGGCAACGCGTTCGAAATTATTGAAATTCTAGGGAATTTACGGGGGACAAAAGTGCTACATCGACACGTGGACACTGCTTTTCATCAAGGAAAAGGAAAAGAGTAGGAAGTAAATTTAATTATCCCTTGTAACCCTTCTTCGAATCGCACCGTCAACGGAATAGAAGCATTCCACTCATGGTCGTACCAAATTGCTTGTTCAAATTAGGAACTTATCATGATCAAGCTACAACACCAGTCCCAAATGAAACCGGCACCACTAAAAGCCTGGCCTTCTCCTTTTGCTCCCGGCACGTCTGCGTGGCCGAAATTCGGTAATTGCTTCCAGGATTGGCTCTGGTAAGCAACAGTCTAAATTTGCTGGTTCTTGCTTTATCAAAGCGTTTCGAGTACGTGGAAAATAAATATTGCAATTCAATTTGTTCAACATTTTTTCCCTTATTTAGTCTGGGAATTAATTATACATTAGTTTAGTTCTAAATAGTAAAAATTATATGGTATGTATATGGATGATTATGTATACATTTTCATATGTGTGTACACTTACTGACGAAAGTATTTGAATATTTACCATAGAAAACTTGTATATCCATATTCTACGTGTTACACATTACAAAGCATTTCTAGATTTCAGTAGATGTTAAATATGGTTCTATTGAATATTTGTGCTTTACCAATATAACTGACAATCGACCGACTTAAATACTCTTCTGATATCTATGAAATATATACTTGTTTCAAACATCTTGCAATTTCTATACATCTCTCTAAACTCGTTTCAAACTCTACCCACATAATCGTGATAGTCTTGTTACAGTGTCAATGAACTTTGGAAACGTTTTATATAACACACACAATGTATTCATAAAAAACATGTATAAGTGTTCCAGTAGTTTGGTGAACCAGTGTATATTTCTACATGGATACAATACCATGTTAATTCAGCGTACTTAAAATTTACGTGAAATCGTGATAAAATTGTAAAATTATAAAATTACAAGAAAAAAGTGTATAACTTACAACTTATAAATTATTAGGCAAGAGGAAATTTTCAAATTAATTATAGAAATAGATACGATATATCATTCAATACAGATTTCCCTTACTTATTCCGGATTTCCTTGACTCCACCGAGCTTCCCTTTCGAGCCTTTATCTCTTATTTTTGTTACCTCGTATTCGTCTTGTCGAGATGCTTTGTCCGTAGCCTCGGATAGCGGACATAATTACAGACTGTGAGTCTCGTAGCCAATGGATGGTCAACGGTGAACCAAGCGCCGAGACCTCTAACCTATCATCGCGAACGTCTGGTTAAACTCGTGCATCGAGAAAAGGTTCGAACGGATGGATCTTTGCGGAGGAACGCGAGACGTAACGCAATCTATTTAAATGAACCCTACGGTTTAGCGAGGGATCCATTATCGTGATTGACTCTACCGTTAAGCGCGCGTTGCACTCGAAAAACGTTGCGTTGCCATGCATTATTCATGGTGTTCGCGTACCGAGGAAATTATGACGATAAATATGATGAAGCGCATTCTGTTAAGAAAACATTTTCCGGTTAATTTCGCAACCTTATCCCGTGGTGAATATCAAAAATATGTCGTACTATATCGATTATCAATAGCAAATATGTGGATATGGTATAAGTTAACTATAGCGTTGGTAATTGAAATTAAATTTAACATGCATGTTGATTACGTTAAGATATAGGATGAGAGATGTTAATGGTTATTTTATGTATACCATCGAGAGTTATTTCATTAACAAGCTTCTTGATTTAAATTCATCGTATTGGTATATTAATAGTTTTGCAAACGATGTTATTTGTGAGTTTTTGATGGTAGGTAACTTAATATGCTTTATAGTCATCCAATATCTCATCGAATATCTCATAAAGGATTGGAGGTATCAATGAAAGGCTTCTATAAAAAATAATTAGTATAGAGGAAATGAATTGTTCCTTCGTATTTCTATGATCAACGATTTGATTCAATGTCAAGTTAATTACTTTTATAGAAGAGGCTACGCTTTTTTATTACCATAATATCATGTCCCTTTGTTAAAATAATTTTCACGATCTATTACGGAAAAAGTAATCTATTTCGTATTTTAAAAGATTATAAAATTGTGAAGAACTGTAGCGTCGCAAGTCAGACGTTCTACATTAAATTAAATCATATATTATTAAATCACATTTAAACTGTTTTAATGTCAATCTCTGTCGATACTGGTATAGATAATTCATTTTACTGTTATTCTTAATTATTAATCTGAAACTGTATCTAACGTTTTCGTAACTAACGTAAATATTTTCTACAAGTGACAACGTAACGCTTTCTTTGAAGAGACATTGCTATTTCATAGAGAGAGAGACGTGTCACGTGAAGCCGCGGAAATGGTGACTCGTTACTCGTGTAACGACCCTGTGAAACCTTAAAGAAGGCTATAGCCACCCACGTGACTGGCGCACGTGCACGCGGTCACACGTGAGTTGTGGACTGTCTCCGAAGAATTTCCATGGGGAGGAGGGTCATCCATGGAACTGTAGTATATAGTTGACACTCGACAACTTCTTAAATTATTGATCACATGTAGAGCGAACTTGATACCAACTGTAGCGAAGTAGAACATACACCGGTGTTGTTCCACCATTGGAAATCAGACTTTAATTCTAAGACAGAAAACTTAGTAAAAGGTCAATGCACCAAGTATTAGAGTTCAACTTTCTTGCTTTTCATGATCGATGACGAGCTCCTTTACGAACATTGCATTTAAATAAATAATTAATCGTAGCAACGTAATCGTTTCCGTAAACGACGTTTGTTGAATTTTTCATTGTATTTTTATCGAAAATTTGCCGAGTTTCTCAGAAAAAAAAGAAACTAACCGAGTCGATAATTAGTTTTCTTAAAGAGAAAAACGAGTAATTTTGATTTACTCATAATCATCAGGCGATTAAGATGGTTTTGTTTTTGTTAATGTTCTTCACAGTGTTCCTGTTCAAGGATTAACAGACTGTCAAATAAGACTGGAAAAAAGTTGTATTTAACAATGGGAAACATGTTTTAAATTAAGTTATTTTGTAACTTTTTAAGGAAAGTAGTAAGGTTGATATAAAAGAACAGCACTTCTTTATGATTCAAGTCAATATTGAATTGTGTAATAAAAATATTCCCTTTTAATGTACGCCATGGTACAAATATTTCTGTTTTAAAAAAAATTGTTCTACCGAACTAAATTTTAATTTTTAGTATTATTGTAATATCTAATAACGATCATTTTTTCCCTAATAATTAATGGTGTCCTGTTGCAGAGACCTTAGCCACAATCAGATTGCTACGATTGGACCAAAGACACTCAGAGGAATTTCATCCCTAAAGTATTTGTAAGTGCAATCTTAACAATTCCTGTGGACAATATCATCGAAGTACCGTAATTGAAACTCTGAGTAAAGTCAAACGCAAACTAGTAGAAGCGATCAAAGATGCGTGCTCTATGCAGTAGTATCAGTCGCATTAGTCAGACACTAGTCCCATAAAGAGAATCGAATTTTTATGAATAAAACAATTTTTTCTTATATCGTATAAAAATAAGCGTAGGAGCATTGAAATACAAAGAATTTGTCATTAATTTATATCAAGATAAACAAATTTTGTTATCAGGTATCTCGACAACAATGTGTTAACCTGCATTGACGAGGCATCGATACGAGAGCTAAAGGATTTGGAAGTATTGTAAGCAGATAAATACAATGCAATTATAATTTGTCGATCGACGATTAAATAAATAATTTTTATATACTGTTGTTCTGTTGCAGAATGTTGAATAACAATAAGTTAACGACATTAGGCAAAGAAATGCTCAGTGGCTTTTCACATTTGCGAACATTAAAGCTGGTGGATAACCCATTATCTTGCGATTGTCACTTAGCTTGGCTCTCTCGACATTTAAAAACCTATCCGAGACTTGGACAACATACGCGATGCAGCTCTCCAATTCATTTGAAGGATCGAAATATCGCCGATTTACAGGTTTGATCGATGCCAAATATTCTTACGCGTTTTCAATTCCGCGGAAAACATAATCAATGGATTGGAATAAAGCAACATTTAGAACTGAAATAATCAATACTTCGTTTTAAACGTTGTACAATTCTTTCACATACGCCTGTCCATGATGGTATTTCTACTTCGTCTAGTTTTCCATTAATCAATACTTCCAGTCAGTAAGGATCTGTACTCTTCTTCTTCTATTCGTATGAGATCAATTTTTAAAAGAAATTTACTTTATCTTTATAACACTGTCAGTATTCAAAATATCGACGTTTACTACTGATTTTTTTAAATAAAAATTTATCTTTAGAGATTTAATACTAAAACTACCAACATGTAATGTGTTTGTGCTTCTGGATTTACTGTACATAGAATATTACAATTAAAATATGACAAACGATCACTGTGCATTTACTTAGTCCACCTATGTTCATTCATGTAGAAGAGATTATCAACCCTTTGGAATATTTTAATCAATGTTTAAATATCCACAACTGATAGACAGTCTCCAAACTAAATCTTTTATTCTTCATCTTCATCATAATGTAGCTTGTAGAAGCAGTTTTTAAATTTTCTACCATCTCTTGTTAAACGATTTATATTCATATTCCTTTTACAGTCAGTATTGTAATAATTAAGAATAAAAGCTAATATCATAATAATTTGCTAAAAGAACTTACAAAGTTTTAACAATTACTAACACAAAATGTCTCTCCTGAAAAGTTTTCTCTACATAGTCGCAAAAAATTGGTAATTTTAGTATTAAATTATATTTACCACGTTTCGTCTTAACCAAAATATTTTCTGGTATAATTTGGCGAATTTTTAAAGCAGTGTCTTTATCGTACTGAAATCTTTCATGTGTCTGTCCGCGAAACAGGAGCACGAATTCAAGTGTTCCGGGCTGGTTGAACGTACAGGATCAGAGTGCAGCGCGGAACCGCAATGCCCGCATCCTTGCAGATGCGCTGATGGTATCGTCGACTGCAGAGAGAATTCTTTAACGAAAGTACCCACCCATCTGCCGGAGGATACCACAGAACTGTTCGTACACACTATTTTGTCACAACCTCCGTATAGAATTGCCAATTGTCTCCTAAACATCGAATTTGACGAACAAAGACAATCGAATTTCAAATTTAACGATAGTAACTAAATGAATTCGTATTTAACCAATGTAACGTAAATATCTTAGGATAAATAAAATAACAAGTAAATGTAGTAAAATTTGGTTAAAATTTTTCTCAATTTTATCTAAAAATTAAGAACGAATAATTCCACGAATAAACTGCCTGTTGCTGGCACAACAATAAAATGAATCATATCAAATCTGAACTTACAAGAATAAACAAAGTTACAAATAATAAGAATAAATAAATAGCAAGTGCAAAAACAAATCAGTTGCATTACAATTGGAAAACTCGTGCACATTCATTCTCAACACGTTAGAAATTGTCACGGTCGTTAATAAAAACCAATTAATTTGATATCCACGAAAATTTCTCCGTATTCCATTCCCGAGGCAATTTCTACGCGGAAAAATCAAGCGGTCGTTAGCTTGAGAGTTTGTTAACTTATTCTCTATGTTGTCAATCATTCGCAGACGTTTGGAGCAGAACCGTATCACGGAAATCCCGCCGAAGGCTTTCTCCCCGTACAGAAAACTGCGCAGAATGTGAGTGACGTTCGCGATTAATCCAATTTATGTTTTTCTTCATGTTGTGTTCCGAACGCGATTTCATTTCGTCTGACGATGTTTTAATCTTTGCCATTTTTTTCATCGCTCGTCAACAGCGACCTCAGCAACAATCAAATTAAAAAGGTGGCGGCCGACGCGTTCCACGGCTTGAAATCGTTGGAGTCACTGTACGTATAATGTATAATAGCAAAATTTACAGCCAATTCGAAATTATAATATTTTTCTGACTGAAGCTTTTCGCCTGATTACAGTGTGCTGTATGGAAATAAGATCACCGAATTACCTGGTGGGTTGTTCCAAGGCTTGACCAATTTGCAGTTACTGTAAGTCGACGTAGAAATCGTTTACATTTTATTTCGTATACGCGTTTAATATATCATCGATAAACTTGATTAATTTGAAGAAGTAAAATTGAATGGGGAAATTATTTTGAAATTTCATTAGCATTGTGATTATTTTAGTAATTGTATTATATTATATTGGTAAAACTTCAAACAGATCTGAAAATTTATATAGAACGTACGAACTATTTACTGGGAATATGTATGTACTTCATACAGAAGTAGTAGAATCAGAAGTAGTATCAGTAATCGTCTGAAACGATATAATTAATGCTCAGCTCATTAAATGTTCAGCATTGATAAAAGTTGTTCAAACGTTAAATGCTATCATAGACAAAATTTCTTTATTACTTATTTATTTAATCAGTTTTTCATTTAAAAATAGATATGCTGCAGTGAACTTTCGTCCACTTGATAGCTTTTAACAGTTAATTTGAATTGATTGTAAAATAAATTCCTACACACATATTGCTTAATTATTGCACGAGAAAATGGATGCATCGCAACGATATTGTAAATTGTAAACGATATTGTAAAAAACGATAGTAAATTGACGAGACAATACAAACTTTTCAGGCTGCTGAACGCGAACGAGATATCCTGCATACGAACCGATCTGTTCCGAGATCTGACCAGCCTGACTCTGTTGTCGCTCTACGATAACAACATCAGATCCCTGGCCAATGGAACTTTCGCCAATCTACGAAGCATTGAAACGCTGTTTGTATCCCGCCATTGAACCGTTAATTTATACAAATTACCGCGGCTTTAACGCTTCGAGCCCTTTCCAACGCGTTGTGCAGGATCGAATTGCAAACTCGTGTCACCGTACACGTTCGTTTCACTGTGTACCACGCGCTCAACAGAATATTCTGGCCTCGGTTGTTCGCTGATTGACACTCTTTCAGCGTTTTCGCTGTTTCATGAAAATATGGGCAAATTGTTAGATTCTGTTTGAATTAATTGTATTATCACGATATTATTCGTTTGAAACTATTAGAGAATAGCAACGATGGATATCAACGAGTAATCGTAATATTCGAAAAATGTCAGACATCATGATAAAAATTTGAATAGTTTTGAAAATTATTGGCATATAGGGAAGAAGCTTTAATTTTGCATTGTTTTGATTTTTTATTGATTTATAATCGTAATTTCGCCAGGCGTCGAATGATACTTGAATTATAGAAAAAAGTAAGTTGAGATGCTATAATATGATGATTGGATGCAAGAATAATCTCTGAATATTTATAATAAGATCTTCTTTTGCATAAAATACATAAATAGATTTCTTATTCCTTCGTACGTATTACAAATTCTATCGTCGTGTCTTTAAAAGTAACGAAGTTGGTAAATTTTATGAATCGATAACACTGGACTCTGAGCTAGATCTTTTACCATTTAAATTCTTTCTCTAAAATAAGGAAAAGTATTTCTTTCCATATAGTTATGTCTTTCATCTCAGAAAAATGTGAAAAGGTTTTAAAATTGTTCAAGTAAAATATCTCTTTAAATAATTCCAAATGGCGTAAATTAATCTTATCAGGCGTATAGAATAATAATAAAATTATAAAATAGTAAAGTGAAGTAATGATCCTAAATGAAATCCCAAACCTGTTGGAAAGGGTTGAATAAAAAGAGATTGATCAAAGTAGAAAATGATTTCCAAGAAATTCCTCTCGCTTTTCCGCAGGCATTTGGCAAGAAACCCGTTCATCTGCGACTGCAATCTACGATGGCTGAACGCGTATCTTCACGCGCACCCCATCGAGACGTCGGGAGCCAAGTGCGAGTCGCCGAAGAGGGCGCAGAAGCGGAAGATCGATTCGATGCGGGACGACAAGTTCAAATGTAAGGGTAAGCACGACCCGATTTCTCTGATATTTCTCTTCTAAACGCATCACCGGAACTCATGGATACCAGTTGGTAATACACGAGGATATTTTCCATCTTTTGGATGACAGAAATCGTTGCTCATAGTATTTGGTGTAGCTTAAGAAATGATTCAGTGATTTAAAGTTTCATCAAGTTCTTCTTATTTTGCCTTAAATGATTCAATTGAATATTCTGATATATTAGTTGTCGTTAATTGACATTTTATCGAAGAAACGCTTCTACTATGAACGATTGGTTATCATCGGGATCATTTTCAGTAAAATTATTTAAATCAATCGTGATATTAGTACAAAGACTAAAAGACTACATTTTGCATCTTTCATAAAAGTGCAATTATAGAATTCACTATATTCACAATGAATTCTACATCAACACTATCAGTAATCAAATAATCAATCAATTCTATGTCAACACTATCAGTGACCAATAATCAATCAATTCCATATTAACACAATTTTGATTAACACACATTTGTCATTGGAATTAAATATGTGTTCTGTTACCACCTTCAACATTTCAAAAGTATTAATAGAATTAGTTGCAGCTAATTCAGTTAAAACCACGATGATTCATAGGAAACGCATAATTTTCGTTTAGCTATGTGAGTTTATCATTTATGTTGAAAACGCTTGTCTCTTTGAATGTACCAAATTATTCCTTTCTCTAACTATTTCATATTAATATAATTTTCTTTATTACGTCCCTCATAGATAACGCAAGTTAATTAACGTAACCTATTAAATGTTAAAATTAGAAGGCCATTGTATAACGATCTTGTTAACGATCAAAATTCTACAAGCGTAGAAATAATTAATTACATCGATTAGCTTCTGTGAGTATTACTCTCGAGATTGCAACTACAATAGAGTGACAAAGCAGAATAAATTGCACTGTCATCTTTTAATCAATTTGTTAACTCATGCAACCATCGTAAATTCTTGCAAACCTTTGTCAAGCATATTTCTGATAGCGCGTTTCATCTTGAACCACTCAAAACATAATCCATATGCAGTAATAAATTAACGAAACTTTTTATCAATGTTTCGATCTTCTTTTATAGCAATCAAATATCCTGCGACTTCCTCCACTAAATTTGCATAAAAGAGAACTTTTTAGTAACGTCAGAAAACACATTTCCACCCGTTAAGTTAGAAACTTAAAATGTTTCCAAAAACAATATTAAAATAAAGTTTCTAATCTTTTAAAAAAAGTATTACACAGAGAAAAATAAATAAATAAATAAGTAAAAAAAAGCAATCAGTCGAGGAATTAATTCGATTAAAATATACAATATGCAATTTTAACTCTTCTGATCGTAAATTTTATTTTTATGCTTATTCTTGTCAATCTAAACTAAAGGCATCATAATCCAACAAAATAGGTCCAAAACTGATTCATTACGTGAATTAAATGCGTGAAACAAATTCTCTAGTCTTTTCGGTTGCTAATCTTAAATCTAACAAGCGTTTCCAAGCTTTCGCGAATTTCAATCGACAGAGAATCGAATAACATTCGCGAATTACAAAACGACAGACAGAAAATAAGTGGCAAAGAAGAGATACTCGAGAAGGCGTACCATTGTACTATACGCGTAGAACATCTTGAGGCGTGCGTGTTCAAGAATAACAAAAGCGACATCGTGCTTTTCCTTTTCATGCTTGTATATTTCACCTAATTGCACTTAGCCGAGCGGAATATAATCGCATTTCTCCCCACCCGTGTCTCTTTCGTGAGTGGAGTAAATGACACCGGAAAATAAACACATCGCTGGCACGTATGTGGGTGGCTATACTCGCACATTATCGTTATGCCGCGTTCCCAGTAAACGAGAACTTACAGGACAGTGGCGTGAAACTTAGAAACTTTTGTAACTTTTGAAAAATTTACGTAAAACACTTGAGCCGGTTTGCAAGCTATTTCCAGAAAATTTAGAAGATATGCCATTTTCTTGCTCTTTTAGTATTTTAGAAATTTAAAAGAAGTTGGAGCTTTTCTGCGTGAAGAATTTATAGATTTTAAAGAAATTTATTTGAGATATTATTTGAATAAATGGAATGTTAATAATCGACGAATGTATTCGACAAAAGAAAGATGCTTATTGAGGTTGACTGATAGAGGAACGAGTTGTAATAGAAAAAAAAAAATTGAAATAAGTATAGGTGTAAGTACAGATATAGTCTATGCTGATCCAGATCCTCATTCTTTCAATGTTACATAGACACGTCCATATATTTATAACAAAAGACATTACCAAAAGTTAACCTTGGTGTGCAGCTTTAGCTAAAGGCTACAAGAAACAGCAATAGAAATCTACTTATAACTCTTTGGTTTCTAGACCTTGTAACCGAAAATAAAATTTATACTCAAGGACACAATAATATGAACCTTTCCTTATTTTCAATTTTTTTCACTAAATTCTATTCTCTTCGTAACAGCGATCTTTAAGTCACGGATATACGAAAGAAAAAGGTGTAGAGTTTTCCTTGAAGTAATTACTTGAACAATTCCCAATCTAAGTCGTTGGAAATTAAGAGATGTTTAATATCAATGTAACAGTAGCTTCTAATAATTAAGAAATAAATCGTGTATCACTAGAATTACACTCTTCTTCGATTATGCAATCAATTCCATTATTATTCTATTATTTAACACTTTGACTGCCACGCCGAAATCACATGTTTCGCTCAGGACGCCAAGAGAGTATTTTTATTATTCAAAGCATATAATGGCAAAATAATGATAAATTGATGATGTAAGACAACATTCTTCCCCAATGGACCGTTCATCTTATTGGTGATCACGGACAACCACCGTGACGCCTTGGTAACAGTTAATAGCGACATATTATAACAAGGCGTCGTTTATTTCAACAAATCATTCGCATTCGTTATTTCGTCGTAAGCAAAACGACCAGAATATATTGTTGAAACGTGTAGAAGATATTAGTAAACAGTATTTGCTCATTCTATATATAATAGTAAGGTATGTTCACACTCCTAACTTCAATTATATGATTATAAAGCAGCCTTTACGATTATTTTCTAAGTTTATAGTAATATTCGTAGATTACCCCTTAAAGATATGAATGCAAACACAGTGCACCGTTAGATGCAAGATTTATTCTCATTTTTTTTTTATTGACGTTCTAATAAAAATGTTTAATTGTTCAATGGGGCACTTTTTATTTCGAAGTATCTTCTATTTATATTCAAAATCCCCTAATTGTCAATTTACATTCTATTTTTACAATTGTAAGAAGTTCAAGCGCTCCGGTCACGATGACCACCATGGCGTCACAGGAGAAACCGTGGTCGGTCATATATGACCAACGTGGCAGTCAAAGTATTAAAAATTCTATTATCTCGATATTTACTCCAGTGTATGAAAATCTTCAAGGCTTCGACGTATGTTATCAAATTTCCTGGACTCATAATCAGACCCAGCCATTTAAAAATTAAATTCCAACGATCAAAAATACATCGATTAATCCAAGTCAAAGATCGACGACCGGCTGATCTGTTCGCACCAGGTTACCATGTTAACTTGGTCGGCGATAAATTTTGATAATGAACAGTAGTAGCGGCGATATCATTAAATTAAGCATCGACGCGACGCCGCGCTTGCTCTCTCGCACGTTAATTGAGTGTTGAATGTCATGGTGCTCCGAGGTGAATATGTTTATGTATGAGTACGTGCACGCGCGCGCTGGTGATTTATCATCGCATTATACGCCGCATTACAAATTGTCCGCTGCGATACACGCGCGTAATTATATCGGTAATTTGCGTCCCGCGTTTAATAACGTGCAGCTACACGCGGTGTCGCGTGGTCACTTTCTCCGCGGGTTTCCTTTCTTCCTCCATCTCACTGCTGTCATAATCGAATACGATCGAATCGGGTCTTAACGCTTCCACGATCGATGATCTGATACGAAACTTACACAATGTATGTATATAATTATGTACTCATATTAAATATTCGAATGCAGGACTAACACCCCCCATAAGAGAGAATTGTTTAAATATCGTGTTGCTTGTTCTACTTATACTGGAAAATATGTAAACAAATTTTTCCTAATAATAACATTTAATTGTGTAATAGATTTAGAAGAAAGAAGAGGTTTCTCTCTTTTATATTTTCCAATAATATCTGCTATGATTTATAATAATAGTGGTGCAATTTCACGATAACTTTTGCCCCATTTCTCTATGATATATTACAAGTTGTCTTTTATCAAAACTAGTTTTCTCTCCTTTTCATGACACATCTTTGAAGCAGTATAAAAATATCGGTGTTAATTTCTTGTGGCATTAATTATAGAAAATAAATCTATCTCGCAGTTCAAATTGTTTCTAAGAATTGCTAAATCGCAGAACAAGTATTAGAATATTACTGTGACAAGAAAATATGATAAATTTTTGCTAAGAATCTATTGTATAATTAAACACGCACGAGTACTATCATAGTTCGATTTTGAGAATATATTTTCATACGTGAGTGTAACTCATAAATATCGTCTTTACGTGTTTTCTTTCATTTCTCAGCTATCGAAAGTCGTAATTTATCGACGTGATATTCATGAATTAGACGATCTCCTAATACGATATTACATTTTTATATAAATTGAAGTTGAGAGCCCCCATAATGGTACCGCAATTTCTACTTTATAAAAGCCGAGGGGCCATTAACGTGCCAGTACTGTGTCATTTCGTGAGTAAAAGCTGACAGCATGTGACATCATATTATATCTCTTTCGTTCATCGATGTTAGCAGTGATAATCCTCGCAGCTCTCCGTAAACTGAAGTTACAGGTTTAAACAGTAATTACCAATTCTATAACTTATTATATTGTATTATTCAATCGACTTAAATTAATGATCACCGATATAAAAACTTCGTTTCATGAACGATTAATTCATACTAGGATTCTCTGCAATGACAATTACCGAATTTTTTAATATATACGTTGACCAATCAATTTGGATTGAGAACTATTGCACTGTTTAATTTATTAAAATTAAAAAGCACTGATGTGAAAGTTTGTCCTGCCATAAACGGGTACGACCATAATATAATATAAATATTGATTTCATAAATTCAATTCTCTCGCAAAGGAAAAGTTATCGTATTAGTCAATGAGTTTCAGCTAAGCAAGAACCACTATCATAAAAATCGTGTAACATCGTTTCAAGATCTAAAACTATCAATTTTTAATACAACGTTACGTTTTGAAGCTTTTAAACACTTTAATCACTGACTCATTTAAGAGCGACGCTCTGTGGTCCTGAGAAGGAAAAGCAGATTAGACGAGATTGCTTGGAGTAGATTTTGTATTCGACTGTTTGTATTTAGGCGACGAGGAGCTCTTGACGAAGAGAGCTGGCGAGTGTATCCTGCCTGGAGAATGCCCAGAACCGTGCATTTGCAACGGAGCGACCATCGATTGCTCGAACAAGAAACTAACATCGATACCAAAAGAACTACCGATCTACACGTCCACCTTGTGAGTACAGTCTAATGATTTCAGATTCGATCAAAACGACTTTATCGATTTAAATTGTAATCACAGTTGGCTGAGATCTTTTCTTTTTTTTCGCTTTCAATAGAATAAAATGAAAATTAAATATTTTAATATTAACTAGCTCGCTTTGATCCAAACTATCGCCATCTATCACCGAAAGAAACCAATTCATTCATAACAATGATTCGTAATATCGGTACAAAGAGAAAAGATCGATCCAGTCAGTCGATCGTGACGAATGTTGATCCAGGTCCCTTCGGGCGAGAAAATTAATTCAAACGGCCGACAAGATAATTATCTAATTAAAAGCTGGTCCGTTGTACAGACAGCGTGGCGGGGTAGAGAGCAGAACAATGAATCGTCAAGCTATTATTCGAAATAAATTATTCGAACTCGTTTAATGGATCGACGCCCTGTAGCGCGATTAATTGCTCGCCGTATCAGACGCTGGCGATAAACTCTAACTTTCTCGTTCCTCGGCTTTCTTTGTCCTTGCGCCCAGACTGTTGGCCAACAATGAGCTGGATAAGATCAAAGCGGATGGCGTGTTCGAAAAGCTGCCGGAGCTGCAGCATCTGGACCTCAGGAAGAATAAAATCTCGCGCATCGAGGCCTCTGCGTTTTCAGGCGCTCACAAACTCACCGACTTGTAAGTTACTACATTCCTTTTTCCTTCTTTTTGGGGGAGAGGAGGGAGGGCAGAATATTTGATGATTTTTAATGATTCAACGGTTATTAATATAATTGATGAGTGAAGTTTCTCAGCGATGAAATTTTTCTCATTTTTAAGGGAAAGGTGTTCGGTGATTTTTAATAATTTGAAGAGAAATTGTTCGATGAGTTTTAATATAATTAAGGGATGAAACACCAGAGGGTGGACATTTATTTCCATCTTCAAAAAAAATATTCCGTTGTCTTAAGTAGTTCGAAGGAAGATCATTCGTTAATTTTTTATATAATTAAGATACTTTGCCGAATTGGAAATTGTTCATTAAATAAATTATCTTGGCCTTAGAGCATCGTAGAATGAGACAGTTTTCTAATTTATATTTCAATTTTCGTCATTTTGATTGTTAGTCTCATTTTATTAAGATACTTGTTTGAGATACTTGTTTGTTATTGAAACGTAATAATTAATAATTAGCCGGGATGAATTGAAGATAAAGATAGGTTGTTTACATTTTTTGTTCGGCAGCATAATTCGATTTGTCAGAAAATTGTTGTTTGTTCTTTTTTCTCTGCTGAAACGTTTCTTGGATGAGAAAGTTTCGAATAACGGGGCTGTATTCAGACCGTCGAGATTACTTGCGTTATTTGTGCCTAACTCGATCGGGACTTTGAAACGAGCTTTAACGAAGCAGAATAGGATTTAATTTTCAAAGGCAATTAACGGGACAATGGGTCGATTAATTAGATAGCAGGAGGAGCAGAGGGTGGCTGTAACTCGTGTGTATTTTAGTCTGGACGAATGCAAAGCACGAATCAAAGTGACGCATGTTCCCTAAAGAAAAATCAATCGAACGATAAATATTTTCGTTTGAATATGAATTCGACATACTTTATGAATATATGAATAGATTTGTACAAATACTTTTAGATCTTAAGAGGATAGATACTATGAATTATTCATAAGTTCTACGCCCCGTTCTTCTTCTTATTTTGTGCCATTAAGGACCAAAATAATCTCTAGATATAGAAGAATATTACAAAAATAATTTTCAAGGGGAAATTTTTGATCAGATTGCAAACCACAGATATATCTCGTATATAAGTTAGGTATATATATAAAGATAGTTTCTAAATAGAAAATGGCGATAAAAATGCAAAAGCGTACCATATTGATAATTGAACTCTTAATATTTTTTTTCCAACTTAATTTACGGAAAATACAGTAGCAGAGATTTTACGCGATACGATAATAATTTCTGTCCGAATTTTACATGGTCTCAATGGTGCAACGATGCGTGCGAGCATCGATTCCCATCGACGCGTAAAGGGAATCCCTATAGAGCGGAGCGACCCTATTCCTCTTTAATATTTAGCAACCATACGCCTTATTCACGTGTAATAACGAGCCCTCGTTTCGCAGACTCTTATCGGAGAACAGGCTGAGGGAAGTTCACAACAAGATGTTCACCGGCCTGACGAATCTTAAGACGCTGTGAGTAGAAACTTTTATGTCTCTTCATAAAACGGTATCACCCGGCAACTGTATAAACCCGTCGAACACCATTTTCACAGGAACCTGCACGGAAACGCTATAACCTGCGTTATGCACGGCTCGTTCGACGGATTGACGCACATACGCACCATGTAAGTATACTTCGAACCCGGCTTTTTACTAGTTTTCCCACCCTACGCCTTTTTAAACGTAAAATCGATTCCCATCAGATGCGAAAAGAGTTATTGAATTTTATTTTTCCTTTCAGAAATACTGCAGTTTCGTTGAATAGATTATTTCTCTGACGAAATTTGTTCAGCGACTCGCTAAAGTATTCGAACACTCGAAAAAATTTTTTATCCGTATGTCGCGTGAAACGTTTTGAAATTTCACTACTACGCTACTACGAGACGCGATTGGCATGCTTACACTGGTAAAATTTGAAACCAATCTAAAAACGTATGTAGAAGTTAAACGATGTTTACTGGAAGCGTAAAAAAAATACAAGTATGAAGTATGAATAGAAAGATATGAATAGTCGCTTTAAGCATATAGTATGCAAGTATGTATTAAAGCTAATGTATAAAGCTCCGTAGTCTATTTATTAATGTTGCGAGTAATTGGCTGTGTCAATACTTTTGCAATCTCTGTGGAATATATATTAATTAAAATATCTTGTAACTTCTATATATGCTTTTAGAATCGTGAAAGATTTAACCAATATAATCGCGCCAATTAAAATGTTACTGATATTTCGAAACACTTCGTATAATACGCGTAATATGTTGATAACTCGTAAACGTGATATATTAACGAAATTCCGTTCTTTCTTCTACTTGCTTTTAATTATTCTGAAGAATATTGGATGAGATTTCCGTGTTAATTGACGATAATTATCAATCGCGATGTACAGAAGTTAATGAAAATGGATCAGCAGAGTGTTATCGAGAACTTCGAACGACAGCTATTATGTATCATCGAGTGGTAACGAAATTAATTCGTTATTAATTATGTAATTATAACAACATGCGTACATCGTTTTGAAGTAAAACACGAGAATCAATAATAACGATCCAGTAATGTTTCAACTTTTCCCGAAACGAGACGCACTTGCTATATTATAACGTAAATATTTAATCAGATTAGTATTATGATTATACGAATTACGCTTCATCAATATTAATGAGACAACGATATGGATTTATTAATTATTACGTGTATCTGTACACGTTTTCAATATGTTTTACTGTTGACTTCGCCGGTTCTCCGGCCGGCGAAATATATTTCGTGCTTCCGTGCGCATAATTAATAGCAGTCTAATAAATTGCCTCGTATTTTCAGTAACATGCAAAGCAATCCTTTGTCGTGTAATTGTCATCTCGCGTGGTTCGCCGGATGGCTGAGAAAACGCGACATGTCTGGCGTTGTGGGACACTGTCACGACCCTCCACGATTGAAGAGCGCAATCATCAAAGATATACCCCATCACGAGTTCAAATGCAACAGTAAGATCACTCCTTTGCATTTTTTAACTTTTTATATTAATATCGGGAAAGTATTTTAACATCTTTCTTGGACAACACTAACTTCTAATAATAATATCCCAAATGATATGTACGATCAGTACTATTGAAGTAAAATTACGATACTCTGAAAAAATGTTTGATTGAAATTAATACAAACAGTGGCTGGAAAAGTACTTATATCAAAGTACCTAAAAGCATGAAAGATGTTTTAAAAAAGCAACTGTTATTAATTACCTCGTTCCGCTATTAGTACGATCTTCCTCGAAATTATTAAGTGAGTCACAAGTTCGTTCACATTTTATTAAATAAATATGATAAAGTGAGTCTAACCAAGGAGTAACTTATTTCGTATCTTTTTCATATAACTACGTATCTTCCATGAAAAAATTCAGGCGTATTTTTACATTTTTCAAATAACATTTATAAAATTTTTTGAGATCCATAGGCTGGTGAAAGACGAAGGAATTTTTTACTTAACCCAATATCTATCTCTTCGATACGATATCTACATCTTTGATTGCTGCAATTGATCTCGAAATTAACGATACATCGTCTGTCTATTTTACGAACCGCAGACGACAGCGTGGGTTGCCTAGGTGACGATTACTGTCCACCCCAATGTAATTGCGCCGGGTCAGTGGTGAGATGTTCGAGGTCTCAGCTTACAGAGATTCCACGTGGGATTCCGCCGGAAACCACCGAGCTGTATTTGGACGTGAACGACATCAAGACGATCCAGCCCGAGAGACTGAACCACCTGAGGATTCTCACTAGACTGTAAATAAAATACACGTGTGATGTTGTAACGTTGCCGAGATTGAAAAGAGAAGAAGAGACTGAAATCTCGTTTTCTTTCTTTGCTTTTCAGAGACCTAAGCAACAATCAGATCGGAATGCTGTCCAACGATACCTTCAGGAACCTCACCAAACTGTCCCACCTGTAAGTCGGCACCTTGATTTTCTCTGCGAAATGCCACTTTTGCAGATAAAATATTCTTTCAGCTTTTTATTCACAATTTTATATTTTGATGTAGGGAATATTTTAATTGAATAATTTATCTGTAAGATTTTCTAACCAAGGAAGTTTTGTTACTTCTTTTATGAAAGAAAATATAGAAGCAAAAATTCTGAGATTTTTATTTATACTTTTCTTATCCGTAACACGTTACTGAAACTTGATATTAGATAGTTAAATTCAACTTCAATATTTGGTTTCGTCAATATTTCTTCTTTAATATTTTAAAATGTAAATTATGATCTTGGAGGATGAGAAAATTCTTTGATGTCATTTCTTCAGCCCTTCTATTTCTAACTATTTTATTATTAAAAATATTATATCAATCTCTAACACATTTGAAGAAGGATTTCATCTTTAATTAGTTTTATTTTATTTTGGTTTGCTTGCATTATAAGTATACGAGGCTATCTCTTCACCGTAGACCCTTTTTATTCTAATTATAAAAACAAGAGAAAAATAGATAAAAATTATACAAGAGAAAAATATGACAGATCCTCCTTCTTATGTATCTACTTAATTATCAGACGATGCTATAAAAAATAATCAATAATCTATTGTCAAATTATATTACAAAAAATATTCAATGATTCATCACTAAGTAATATCAGAAGAAAATAACACATGGCCAATACATTTTCAGAATTATCAGCTACAATAAGCTGCAGTGTGTCCAACGAAATGCCCTGGCCGGCTTGAAATCATTGCGGATAATGTGAGTTTCGAATTGCATAATTTTTATTCACGAACAATGCATAGATTTATACCTTCCTTTCACACGCATTGAATATTTCGAATCGCGTTTCATAAATCACGAGGAAAGAATTACACGAAATGACGCGGTAAAAGAGAGCGAAAATCGTGAATACAGTGGCGAGGGACCATTTTTCTCGCGGAAGTACCATTTTCTGGACGAAACACCGGAGCTTTCAGTATGCTTTCGGTTCTTTGTGAATGCGTGAATTCGCCTGTAGTTGGGGAAAAACAATTGATAATGGTACATACATTAAGTTTCGGTAATGGAATAAATAAAAGCAACGATATGGGGGGAGCGATCTGTATTAAATTAATGGGCGAAAGCGTGCCATTTTGTCGATCACAATCGTTCAATGATTTATTGTTTATTCCGCTGATTGCGGTATTAATTTCTTGATGCGGGCAATTTGGGGAATAATTGTTCTTTAACACCGTAATTATTATAATTAATTCGTTAAATCATTTGCATGTATATAAAGGCATAAACAAAACAATTTATCGAGATCGATATTACGAAATTGATTCGCTTTAAGCGGTCGTAAGGGAATGTATCATATTATATTAGTAAATAATTACTCGAGTACCGATAGAAACTCTATGGCGATGCTGTGTAGTAATATCGATTTTGCTCATTAATAATAGTTATTAATATTACACACTTGAAGAATTTTGAAGTATCAATAATATTAATTTATTTCGTGAAAAAACATAGTCTTATCAATATAAACATTAAATGAAGATGCGTATGATGTATTTTTCTCCATCTTTTACAATTGTTATCTTTCTGACTTTTCTGTTTCTCCTCTTTCTTAAAGCTTTCATTACTTTAAATCCAGCTTTCAAAAAAATTATATTATTTGTGGGATGAATTTATTTATTGGATATTTTGAAATCTTCTTCCAAAGATTATATTAGAGCTTCCGCATGAATATCATGGATATATCATATTAGTAACGAGTATGAAGCAAATTCTAATCCTATATCATCTATAAAAATCTTAATCTTATATCAAGATTACATTAGTATCCTTTATACTGCGTCATTGTCACAGTGTCCTATTGTTACAGTGTAATATTACGTTCTACCATGATGATACACGAATACAAAATTAATTTTCCTATAATACCACGTTCTGATTAATCAAATATTTTGCATCATCTGTAGCAAATTCCCTTACGGTCTTCAAATACAATACCCCTTTATTGCATCGAAACTATAATGCGATCCATAGCATAATAAACAGACTACGGATTTTACTACACAAAATAACACTTGTTATAATACTTAAGGAAGTAAACAAATTCTCTAGCTAAATTCCATTTTCTCATTCATCTTTCTAACAATATGAATTTGCATGAACATCTGCAGTCTAACGATAAGATAACGCGCAGAAACCGTTCCGATAAGAAGTTAACGCCACTTTATTAATTGTTTGCGAATCTACTCGTAAAATCAGCTTAATATGCATGGAACATAAACTAGAACACCATAACGTAGACTACTTCAATAATGATCGTTTAAAACCCCGATTTACACTAGGTCTCTACACGGTAACGACATATCGGTGATCCCTGAGGGCGCGTTCGAGGATCTTCAATCTATAACACACCTGTGAGTACCCTCTCTCTTGCGTTGCCCAAGCTAACGCACTGGTTTCTCTAGTGTCGATAATTCACCAACTGGTGTGTTTATAGCGCTCTGGGGTCCAACCCGCTCTACTGCGACTGCAGCATGCGATGGTTGGCCGAATGGGTGAAGAAGGATTACGTGGAGGCCGGTATCGCGAGATGCATGGAGCCACCAGCGATGAGGGACAAGCTGTTGCTTACGACACCTGCGACCGCATTCCAATGCAAAAGTATGTATTTCCTCGACAGTTATCGCGATCGTGGCGAAAGCGGCCAGCTGTTGGTGATCAGGTTTATCCAGTAATTGAATATGACGGATTTTACGCTGACTTCGCAGGAATGTCTTTTGAATATGAATTCTAAACGTTGTTACTTTGTACACGGTGTGTCCGATAAACTATATTGAAAGTTCAACAGTTGGATAAAATCGATACAGGTCGAAATAAGATAAAAATGAAGATTACAGAAATTGTGATTGACGCTCCGTTCGTTGATTATGGATATTTAGAAAATTACTGAAATAAGATCGAGCCGCGACAAACAAACTACACGAAAGAATGCAAAGCAGTGTAAGAGGATGTATTGAGTTGGAAATTAAATGATTGCGGATTTTGTCATTACCACGTAATGATTATGGAGTATTGATCCTCGAGTCCAGCAAATATTAATAGTATACTGATACTACTAAGTATCTAAAACGGTATATAAGAATACATTTTATTTATTATTGGTATAATAATAAAATAGCATTACCTAGTTATGTATTTTTACGAAAAAATGTTAAATATCAAAACGATTTCATTCAACGTTCTTAAAACCTTACTCTAAAAATTGAGAAATTGAAACGGTAAACGGCGTAAATAGCAACAGTATGAGAAACCTTTTTTTTAATGGAAAGAATAATGTAAATTCTATACGGAATATAATATGGTGGAAAAGGTTAGGAACGTTAGAACTATTTATTCTATTTAGAACTATCTGTGTTAACCTTCCGGACAAAGCTTTTTAGTTCCTTTGGGCAAATAAAACTAGTGATCATAAACATAAATTAGATCGTTGTTAAAAAAGAGGAAAGTATAATATATAAATAAATAAATTTATCATTTCAATGCACTTTCTGCCATTCACTCTTCCTCAAAGTATGTAAAGATAATAAGCACGGTATGTGCATAGTATTCGAGTTATAAATAATGTAAAACAAGAATGCGTTCTTTTTCTTTCTATTAGAAATCTTCGTTTCTGACACTTGTGCTCCTCGTTTATCAATTTCAGCTCCTCAGTTTCCAAACTATTCTGATCAGCTGGCCACTATCGCTCAACGATCGACAAAATGTTCCGCACGTGCAGATGTTTTTGATTTCTCACTGACCCGTGACGCAGTCTGTTTAGTTCATGGTTTTTTGGCCCGTTGTCACAATGGGGTACTAAAATTGCTCATTAATCGTAGACCTTTCTTCCGCGCAGCCAACCAACAGCCAGCCGAAGTCCTGGCCAAGTGCGACCTGTGCTACACCTCGCCATGCCAGAACGGAGGATTTTGCGAGGCGCTCCCGGACCGGAAGTTCCGTTGCAAATGCGCGCCAGGATATCATGGGGACCGGTGTGAACATAAAATTGACGCGTGCTATGGAAATCCTTGCCGGAACGCCGGAACTTGTAAAGTATTGGAAGAAGGAAGATTCAGGTATCAAACGTCTTGACTAACCTAATGTAGAGAATTTCTTGGCAAGCTCGTTCGGGTCTGATTTCTATTTGCTCGTTCAGTGGTGCCCGTAGAAACAACGTCTGCAAGGAATTGTAATCCAACAATGACGATTTCCATTTCCCATTTTTTAAAATGATCTTTTGTCGATTTACTAATATATGATAGGATGGAATATATTGAAATGAATATATTTTCGACGAAAATTGCATTTATTTCACGTAGAAAAATAATTCAGTGCTCTATGTGCTTATCAGCACGTATCAAAACGTATATTTATTTTAAAAAATTGAAATATACTTTTTATTTTACTATCTGAAATAATGTTTACTAATATTGGAATACAATTAAACTCTAAAAAGGATTGTTGATATTTTTCATACGTAAAACCTGTCAATGTTCTATCATTGAGATTGCAGTATTAAACAGATACTTTATTATATTTATAACTATTTTTTATTCATATCAAAATTCTAAATAGTATCGTATTATTTAAAAAATTAGTTTATATAATATCTCAAGTATGTATTTAAAAAATTTTAATAATTATAGACATATTAAAGATCTCGAATATATCTCAATTTGAAAAATAAAAGCACAGAGTTGTTCATACATCTAATATTTCATATAATTTTTGATATTGAGATTTCCAGTTGGACTAGAATTCTACTGCAAACACAAAATCACGAGATCGAACGTGTGCATTTGCTGTAGCTCTGCCGATTTCTTTTGAATCTTCTACTGATACGGAAGGCAGTAGTGTTGGTCAAAAATTGAGTAGACGTGCACGAAACGTACCGATGTATTTAGCAAGACAGTAGCTTTGAGCATCTACTGTGTAGAGTATTGTATTGATCATGTCAAAAGTTGAAATTGGTATCGTTAAATAGAAGCCTATAATTTGGCAAAAGTATATTTCACTGTCTAGTAGTTTAAGTCAATGATTTATGAATCCATCTGTCGGATTCAATATTTCCTTTTTCCTTTTTTACATTTTTTTTTCTTTTTTTTTTTTAATTTATGAACATGCGATGGAAGACTTAATATTGCTCCGGTGATGTATTTTCTGAAAAAAATACACAGGCAAGTGTATTTGCATTGTAAAAGCGTTGTTTAACGTATAAGTAGAGTATGAAATGTAGTTTCAGTAGCAGTAAATTGCACGTACAAAACGCGTACACTGTTGTATGAATAAATAAAACGGGACCTCTGCACGTGAGCCCCGAAGAGTAGAAGGTACACGTAACAATCTATCGACGAAGTGATTATGATTCAGTGGTTCTTTCTTCGAAAGCAATCATCGAGCTCGGACCTTGTTTTTGCTGAAAAATATCATGGTGAAATATCTTAAGGAAAAATTACTATCACAAATTATTAATCACCGAGAATTACCATCGAAGCAATTGTGCCAATCGTAATTTTTATTAAGTCAATATATTAGGACAAATTGCTGATACAAGTCTGAATATTAAATATATTAGATGGATTAAGCTCGTAAAATTTGACTAAATTCATTTAATTTTATTGATACGCTATATTTTTAGTTCGGTAATAAACAAAGAATGCTCCAAAATTAAAAAATTGTAAATTAACCGAACTCCAAAAAATCGATCAAATGTTAAGAAAATTATTCGTCGATAAATTAGTTACGTGTACCAAGGTCGATTGGCGGATATACCGCGATCGAAGGTCATGGTCAATGTCTCGATTGACGATCAGTCGGTGTGTGACAGTTGCGACTGCGCCCCCGGGTACAAGGGACTTCGATGCGAGAACAACGTCGACGACTGCGAGAACAACAAGTGCGCGAATAACGCAACCTGCGTCGACCTCGTACAGGCCTACAGATGCGACTGCACCCCAGGATTCATGGGCGAGTATTGCGAGGAGAAGATACCCTTTTGCACAAAAGGGCACGACCCCTGCGAGAACGGAGGTCGCTGCGTCGACCACGGGACCCACTATAGCTGCGAATGCCCAATCGGGTTCACCGGCCTCAATTGTTCCACCAACCTGGATGACTGCGTTGATCATATGTGCCAGGTACCTATTTTTTATTCTTTTTTCTTTCTCGTCCGACTCTTGCACCATTTTCCACTCATACGTGGCATTTTCTATGACTGAAACACTTCTTCTTAATTCTAATCTTTGAAATCTAGATGACGGATTCTATTTTTTCTATTTTTGAAGAAATAATTATTAATATTAGAATTATTAACGCGAGAATAAATGAAAAATTTAACTTAATTTAGTGTTAATTAAAATCGAAAAAATGAACTTGCATTATGATTTTTAAATTACAAATTGCACTTGGGACGAAAAATGTAGAAATTTCTTATTTTCAACTACACGAACCGTAATAAAATACATTGTGTTTTATGCGACAAATATTCTTGTATTTTTCAGAACGGTGCTACTTGCATCGACGGCATAAACAATTACGAATGTAAGTGCGCGGCGGAATATACAGGCAGATATTGCGAGGCAGCACCGTCGACAGCCATGCTCTATCCACAAACTAGTCCATGTGCACACCATGACTGTCAGCACGGTGCATGCTTCCAACCTGCTCCCGCTTCCGCCGCGGACTATCTTTGCCAGTGCCACCCCGGCTACACCGGTAAGTGACTTCTTTCATAATTTTAGACTAAATAAAGACCACTATATTTCGATTTTACGTTCTACCATCAAATGTAAAGATAAATTTCTTCGTTCCCTAAAATTCCGCCAGAATGCAATCATATTATATTAGTCATGAAATAAACTAAACATAAAATTCGAAATAGAAATATATTAAATTTAACTAAATGATCGATGTATTCAAATAGAAAATGATATGGCTAAATAAAAATTTTCAAACAATAGAGCGCAATATTAAATATAGCATTTACGGGAAAAATCCAATAACGCGTCGTTATAAAAACACCATCGATACTCACCGATAACCGTATGATTAGATAAATATTTTTCAAAAAGCGGAGTGAAATATTAAAATAACATACGAAAAAAGAGTTCCACGCGAAATACCATCGATTTTTATGAAAAACCGTATGACTAAATAATATAGTAAAAATTCTCCAAATAGTAGAATATAATATAACAATAATAGCATTGAAATATAAATAATGGAATGCAATATTAAAATATTCTTCATAAAAAAGATTCGGTAATAGTATACAAAAATATCATCGTCCTTTTACACAGAAGTATTATTTAAACTAATAAAAAAGTCTCATATGTTTAAATAAAAGTTTTTCAAACAGCAGACTGCAAGATTGAAACAATACTGATACAATTATACCATACAAATGTCCACTATCGTTTGAAACAGTGGATTGCGATATTAAAATCCATCTGTTACATACCACACATTACATAAAATTATGCAATATGAAAAATAATCGATTCGTCAAGTAATTTGATTAAAAGTTATCTTATGTAAAAACCTAACTGCAGGAAAACGATGCGAGTACCTGACGAGTTTGAGCTTCGTGGACAACAGCTCGCTGGTCGAGCTGGAGCCGCTACGCATGAGGCCCGAAGCGAACGTGACCATCGTCTTCACGACCACGCAGGAAAACGGGGTTCTCCTCTACGACGGCCAAAACGGTGATCACATCGCCGTCGAATTGTTTAATGGCCGTGTCAGAGTCTCATACGACGTGGGTAACTATCCAACCTCGACGATGTACAGCTACGAAATGATCGCCGATGGTAAACCTCACGTGGCTGAGCTTCTTGCGATCAAGAAGAACTTCACGATGAGGGTCGACCGTGGCCCTGCTAGAAGCATTATTAACGAGGGTCCGAAGGAGTACCTGAAACTCATCACGCCTATGTATGTCGGCGGCGTCGCTCCGGAAGTCGCCAACATCGCGTTTACAGAGTTTCATCTGAGGAACATCACCAGCTTCCAAGGTAAGCCTCGAATTGAAAACTGATTAGGTGATCGAGTCAAATATATGAATGTGTTTTTAGAATGATTTTGCTTGACACGTTGTACAGAATTTTTTGTTTATGATATTTATATATATATATATATTTTTTTATTAGGATATTTGTCTTGTATTTGAAATTTAAATTAAATATATTAACTTAAATTCAAAATATCAAGCTATTAGAATCGAGCAAGAAAATTTTCATCCCAATAATTCTCTTCCTTCTGATTATCAGGCTGCATCACCGAGATGTGGATCAATCACAAATTGGTAGATTTTAGCAACGCGGCGAAGATGCACCGCGTAACTCCTGGATGCATGTCGAACGAGGAAGAAGCTGACGAGGCGCGAGACGTCATGGAAGCAGAAGGAATTATGGGCGGCAGCAGCAACGAGGAATCGATGCCACAAGAGAATATGGCTAACGAACACTCCGGTATAGTTCAACGACTTTAAGCCTTATTGATCAATTTAATATTCTATAGTATACACAAATATTTTATATTCTGTTACATTAAATATTTAATATTAATATCATAATACACGTAAAACTAATCCTACACAAGCAAACGTGTATTTTCATAGTCTACAGGTAAATTGGATCTACATCTGTCTAATTGTTTTACTGTTCCGAGGTTTGAAAATTTTTTCTTGCAATTCAAGTTGAAATTCTTTTTAAAGAAATTGAAAGATAAAATTTTACTCAAGTTGTCGAAGGATCAATTTGCCTACGGGAAGTTCATATATTACTGATATTACTGAATATTACTGATATTAAGTTATTAATTAACATTAGATGTGATATAAATCTAATAGTAAGTGTTATACGTAACATTAATATTTGAAGGATAGCGGGCTAATTAACACATTTCTTATTGCAGACATCGTTATGACAGGACCTGGCTCGATAATTTCCGATCCCTGTGCGACACACGAGTGCAGAAAAGGTTCGCAGTGCGTGCCATCGCCAATGGGAAACGGATATACGTGCCGGTGTCAAACTGGGTGGCAAGGACGGTATTGCGAGAAAGGTATACAAATTTTTAGTATGCTCGATGGATTTCACCCATTATTAATATTTTTTTATATTATATTCATATATTCATTTAAATATACATACATTAAAATATAAATATTTACAGTAAAATACATGATGGAATATTAATATGTTTTATTGAAGTTTTATATTCATAAATTACTTAGTATAGAATAAGCCATATACATTCCATGATTTTTAAAAATTGTTTAAAATATTCATTTTAAAAAATTGTAAGAGTATTACAATGGTTGTGCAAGTGTCTCTGCAAAAAATACATAACGAAAATTTTTTAAATGAAGTAATAACTACAAATTTTTGGCAAATTTCTATCATGTATTTTGTTAAAATAAGCGTCATGGAAATGAAAGGAAAAGATTAAAAATTTGGTAAATGGGGTGCATCTGTTGCAGCACCGACGTGTCGCAAAGAGCACACCAGAGAGTATTACAGCGAGAACGGATGTCGGAGTCGACGACCAGTGAAACTTGCCAAGTGTTGGGGTAGTTGTGGCAACTCATGCTGCCTCCCACGGAAGACGAAACGGCGTAAGGTACGATTTAATTACGCGAAGTACTTGCTGCTTCAATATTTACCCTCTTATCAGTAGTATAAACCTTGCCATAGTCAGGCATACACAGAGTGTTAGACGAAAGCGGACAGAGACAAGTAACGCAAATTTTTATATACACGAACAATAGCTTGGTTTCGGCCACATTTTCAGGAAAAATTAAATGTTATTTTCATATTTATTTAAACCAATTCTTTTAAATATTATAATATTTATCCAGGTATGCTTATAAATATTTTCCTAGACATTGTTGTTGAAACATAATTGCAGGAAAAATTTATTTTATTATGTTTCTGGCTATATTTAATCTTATTCCTCTACCTATATCGTTACAAATGTACAGTAATAAAAAGAAGTTAATATATTCAATTTAGAAACCGAATAGAGAAAATTGCGTTATTTTAAAAAGCATTGTATGAGAAAATTATAACATTGATATATTAATTGAGAAAAAGTGATTGAGAAATAAATGATATGTAATACGATTAAAATACCATTATTTGACTTTATAGAGTGTAAACCGTATGCAATCATATCATGTTTCATCAACGTTGCAATTAGCTTCCTCAAGAGAGATGCAGATATGATACATGTCATTTATAAATGAAACACTGATTGTGATAATAAAATAGAATATAATGATAATAATAAAATAACTATGTAAATGATATAAACGAGTCACGGATGACACATTTATTTGTGTATCGCTGCGATATAATTCCTGCTGGATATGATTTTCACTTCAAAGATTCGAATAATAATAATTGTATAAACTTACAATATGAAAGCATTAAAATATCAGGCGATTATTAAAATCGGGACATCTATGGCACATTTATAGAGGTCGTATTTCTTCCAAATATTGCGGAATAATTCCTGCTGGATATGATTTTCGCTTCAAAGATTCGAATAATAATAATTGTATAAACTTACAGTATGAAAGCATTAAAATATCAAACGATTATTAAAATCGGGACATCTATGGCACATTTATAGAGGTCGTATTTCTTCCAGGTATTGTGGAATAATTGAAATATTTGAGATATTTAGAATATCTGAAAAAAATATGTCTGCGAAACTTTGATTTTACTAATTATTCCATAATTATTTCCAAACTTTATTTCTGTTATTCTCAAATCTATTGCAACCTGAATTTCATTGAAAATTAACAACGAAACGTTGACTAACCGTAGGTTCGATTGATCTGCGTCGACGGTATGCGGTACACGAAGGACGTCGATCTAGTGCGCAAATGTACGTGCACCCGGAAATGTTACTAGCCAGGACCGAGGGACGTCGAGCGCCACAGGTGTTCCATAAATACGCGTCGAGACGTATCGAGACTGAGAGGAAACCCCCGAGAACCGAGACAGTGTCCCAATTCGAACTTTCTACGTTCACGAGCGATATGGCGAGAGTCGATCGCCGATTTGCGGATAAAAACCTTGCTCGACGCATCCTCGTCGAACGCGTGACGAAAGCATTGGGGCCGACGGCACTGCCAGGCCGAACAATATTTAAAACAAGTATCGAAGATAAAAAGAAAAGAAAAAGATGGACACACACTCGCAAAAATACAGCACACAGCCGGCTCAGTGTGATAAATATTCGAACGTGCAGGAAAGAATTATATTGTGCGTGCGTGCGGATCATGGACATATTCGAAGGATATTCGGGGAGAGAACAGTAACGACGCATACAGCGCTAGGTATTATATTAACCGACGTATGTTCAACAATTTTTGGAGTGGAAAGTGGAAATTTTGGTGCGAGAACACGGACCGCAGACGACACACGCGTGTTCGTGCATATTCGCAGAAACCACGCGCATGAATCGTTCGCTCAGTGTGAAATAGATCTAATGGATATGAACGGTTAGTGGTGAGTTGGTGGTGGTGGATTATGTTACGATCGAATGTAAAAAAATTCACGCTTAACGTTGACCGATCTCTCAGAGATTTCTCCTCGTTCGACGCGTTTCGATCACGAGCGACGTCAAACGGGAGGCAATCCTTTTAGCTCGAAAGAAAAATATGAGAACACGGTGGACGTAACAATTTTTCGAATAATCGTTCTAGAGAATGTTGTTAACCAAATTCACGAAAACCTTCGTTGTATGTTCAGTGTGGCAAGCTTCGGTTTTTCGATGTGAACAAGAATTTAGTCTGAGAGGTCGAGATTTATCGCTGAAGAAACGTTTCCGCCAGAAACGGTGGAGATTGTGAACGCTTACGCTAGCGTTGCTGAGCTTTCTGCAACTATTTTCCGAAACCTGACCATTTGTAACTGTAACTTAAGCGCAACTCAATCGAAAAAAGAGAAACGAACGCAAGCAAGATGTTAACAAATGTGTAAAAGACAGCCGCGTAAGTATTAAAGATGTATAGCAAGTTTACGTGTTTCTCTGAAAAAAAATATTCAATTTTCCCAGTTAATCGTGGAACTTGATGGATTGTTAGGTCTATTGTCCTCTGAGTAAACGTTTATATAAAACAAGTTCTCGAACAGGTAGTTATGTTTACACCGGTTAAAAACGATCGATATCTGGCAGATGATTCTCGAATAATACACACACATGCACATACACAAACACACACTGAAAGATTAATTATAATTGGATCGACAAACATTTCCATTTCGACTCGTTTCGTCTTGTTATTACGTATTTTAATTACCCTGTATCGTTTAAGCTATATTTACTTTTTATGAAGATTTAACCTCTCGGTATTTAGTAGTGGGATAATTTAACGCAGCGGAGTAAAGTATATATTTAAAAAGACGTGCCGCGTGTTTCTTGCCTTTTTCGAACGTTTCGTTGCAATATTGACGATTCTCTATGGTAAAATTACTATTTGACACGATTATAACGTTGGTTTATTCGAAGAATGAGCCAACAAAAAAAAATTTATTTACAATAAAAAAATTCTTAATTACTCAATTATCGAACAACGATCAAATTTTGTTAAATAAATTAGGCTTAAGGGTTTTGAAGTTCTCTAGTAAAAAAGATTGAAATAGAGTTATTTTGAATGGCGATGTTGCTTCTATTAGATAATTTAACGCAATAATTTTTCTTCTAATTGTTACCTAATAAACAATCGATATCACTTCTAGTTAATCTTTACAGATATCTAAAAATTCTCAAATTTTCAATTCTTTTATCAAATCAACGAATATATTTTTCTATTTTAAAAAAAAGCAACCTTAAATAATTAAATAGAGCTAAGGCGATTTCCTTTCGCAATATAATGTTCAATAAAAGGCAAGAAATCACCAGAGGTAAACCAAGGTCTCTGAAAAAGGACCAAAAGCGACACCTAGAGCCTCGAATATTTCATTCCACGGCCTAAGGTACTGTCTTCGAGGGTCGATCGCGCGAATTGCATCTACGGGTAGTCGCGATGAAGAGGAACAGGTCGACGAAATTCGACGACCTCGTGTAGAAAGACGAATTGTAATGGTGAAGAATAAAATGAGCGTAGCTAACGCGAGTTTGGGGTCAGAGGATCGCGTAATTATTTTTATATGAGCGCATTATTTAAATGATCGAGTGTCAACGATGAGTTTTCTGATTGTTTTCATCGGGGGAGGCGTGATTCGTTCGGAAACTACTTAAGTCCCTTTTAATGTTTCGCGTACCTATTTAAAGAATCGTGTACCTACTCTGCGGATAACTGCCTTGCATCTTCCACTGCCAGTATTTAAGTCGTATATTTATATCCGTCGTTACGAACGACCCAATCGCTTGCTGGATCTATTGTCATCGATCGATTGTTCTTCTCGCACTTTCAAACACCACTCTTGTAGAACCCGATTTGTTCGAAGCAAACGAACTTTCTACAGTGCACAATCGAGCCCTTTGCACTTTGAACTTCGCAAGAAGATGACCTTGTTTGATTTGAATATTTGATTCATCCTATCTTTTAACAATTTAATTCTTCCCTCTCTTACTATTTCTATTAAAATGACGGATTTAAGAGGAATTGGTACGTTTTCTTTTTATCATTTTAACATCAAAGAAGTTATGTTCATTTTTTACAATTTCAAATACAGAGAACAAAAGAACCTACTACAAAAACACGATTGTCCCTTTTGTATTTTAATCTTCATAGGCAGATAATTTTGTTTGATTAGAATATCTGATCAACTGAATTCGTAATATATTTGATTCTTTTTCTTTTTATCGTTTTTATATATAAAAAAAAGGAATGAGGGGGCTAGGTTCATTTTCTTCAAAGGTAATTTAAAGCACAAAGTAATTTTCTATAGAGTACGATGGAGCCCTTTGTACTTTTACTTCTACGAGAAGATCACCTTATTTGATTCAAATTTTTGACCCATTGAATCTTTCAAGAATTTCATTACTCTTTCATTTCTTATTTTTGTTAAGAAAGGCGAGAAAAAGATTTAGGTTCATCTTCTTGGAAGACAATTTAAAACACAAAGGGTTAATTCAGTCGACAAAATACTCAGCAGTACGTGCACGGTGTTCAGCGTTTTCCAACCCTTTCGGTACGAGCGATACTTTTACTTTGGAGAACGAAATCGATGCCTGAACGAAAACGAGTCGAATGCCCGCTGCGATTCTCCGATCTAGACGTTGGATAATTCACCAATTTTCTTTAGATTTTTTTATATTGAACGATTTTGTAATCTTTATACGTTAAGGATTAATTAAGTTAATATATTACTTATATTCGAAGTTACACGAGTTATTCGTGTAATTTTCTACGTTTATATAATATGAATTTTTGTAGAAAGTGTAAAATGAGCGAATATTTATGAAATAAATATTTATCGAGAAGGTTCGAATTATCGATTACAATTGAAAGTCGTACCGAAAGGGGACCAACGAGAAAAAAGAAATCAATCTTTCTTATTACATTTAGATTAGATCGTATTATAGTCATTCGTATAATTTTTAAGCACGACGAATTAATATCTTTATTTCATGTTATCGTCACTTCTATTAATATCTTCGATTACTTCGTATCGTTCGGTTTGTATAGAATTCTTTACGATCGAATTATTTTACTATTTGTCCATTCGTTTCTTTCGAATGAGGGTATCGAACAAAAAAGTGAAGGAAAAAGCAAAAACGAGACGAAACTTATATCGTAGCGATCATGTCGAATGTGTTACTTATCGTTATTGATTTTCTTTTTCTCTTTGTATGCAGTAGAAGGAAAAAGGTAATAGGTGTACCATAGCGACATATTTTACGAGTTCATAGTATTAGTAGTAACATAAGTTGCCTATCGCGTTGCGTTTGGAAAATTATTTCTTCGAAATTGCTGAAATTTAGTTTCACAGCCACAGGTCACTGGAAATTGTTGTTGTTGTTAACACGTTGTTCGTTAATCCAGAATTTTATACATTTTTTTAGGACGTAACTTTCTTTTTTAGTAAAACGTTTCAACTTACAACACGCGTAAATTTCCATAATATATGGTTTTTAATCTCTTCCTAATTTCGATTAGTAAATGAATTGTATTAATTCTTTTTATATTAAAAAAAAAGTAATAATAATAAAACGATGGCGAGCAACGTGTCGAATTGAGTATTTGTAAATGAAATTGAGAACAGGATAAATAGATACGATCGAAAGCTTTCAGAATTTTGATGACTTTGATGATTTAAATCTTCCATACCGACGTAGAAGACTGACCGTTAACTCCATCTTCAGCACAAAAGATGTGTGATGAATGAGTAAGAGATAAAGTAGAACAAAATTGCTTTGATCAAAAAAATTGTATCAGCAAATTAAGTGAAAAATTGCACGAACAATGTTTTCCAAATATTTTATATAATTGTTAATTTACAAAAGTTCTCAAGTGAGAAACATGGTCCTCGCAGACTTTCCATTAAAATTCTAACTCACCTTTCAGTAATTAATTTTTAATTCAAAAATAATTTTTTATAAAGAGTTTCTCATTCAGAGAAGAGATATTTTAAGAGATATCTTTTACCATATACATGCCGGCAATTTTGTATCTGGAACATGAAATTGAGAAAAATAAAATCAAGTTAAAGTTTGTATCCAAAAATGATCAAATCAGTAAAGAAAGTTCACATTCTTCAAAATTGTTCAAATTGCAAACTAAGACACCTTCTTAGAAAATTTGTTATCACGGTGGAAAATATAAAGAGACGGTTCTATTATTTGCAAATTCTAATAAGTTACCGGAAAAGAACATAAAAATATAAATTATTCCAAATATAAAGCTCTATTTTACTTTTCGGTTGCAAGAACATGGAGATCGAGTTACAGAAACTCAGTAACTTCACTTCTAGTCGCGTATTTCCGTATTCTTTGTAATTATCAATTAACATCGATATGCTGAAAGCTGGTCGATTCCTTAGAGAGAAAAAGAAAGGAAGAAAAATAGGATAGCAGAGGCCAGGCTGAGACAGAACGAGTTTAGAACCAACATTGCCGGTTACACGAAGGAAGTTGCGAGGGCCGTAGTCATTAATCCCGCATTCGACCAAACATAACGTGCGAGTAATTCTCCTTGTAACGAGATTAACGTTCGCGCGGGACGTTTAACGAGAGGAAGAAAGAACGAAAAGAGAAAGGGAATCGATAGAAAGGTGTAAAGGGGGAGAATGGGAGAGAAAGATATAGGATTTTCTACGAAGCTTAACGTCTATAACTGGACAATAATTGAGATGAGGCGATCGAGGATTCGATTTAAAGAAAAAAAGTAAAAATAAAAATAAAAAACGTACGGGTGGGGAGAGAGAGAGAGAGAGAGAGAAAGATGAAGAAGTGTTCGAGACTTGTGATTGCTCGAAATTCCTAACGAGTTATATTTGTACATTTACTTTACGAGAAACCTTAATATATTTCACTCGATCGGTGGATTATAGCGCATGCGACTGAAGTATACCAGTTTTAAGAGTCTTACGCTTAAAAGTATAGCAAATGCTTTTTCGTTCTCGGACCAGCCTACGAATGTATTATTCCTCGAATAGGAAAAGAACGACGAAGGCGCGCTCGACCGCGCGTCCATGTCCGAGGCAGCTCGTTTCGTTTATTCGGGAAAAAAGAATGGAAAACGTAACTAAAAAAAAAAGAAGCATTTGTTTCGTCGACTCAACTCACTACCTAAATAACTGTAAACTGCGTAATAAATATAATTATTATTGTTCCTTCTCGATATTCTTGTCTACTCGTTTTATTTTCCTTCGTTCCCCTAAGTATTGAAAATCCCTGACAAAACTGTACACTTATGGTTCTAGATCCGTAACTTCGTATAGTTGTAAAGATAATAGAAACGTTCTGTTTCTCGGTATGTAATATTTTCTTTGTTTCTTAAAAACTACTTAACTTAAAGATTAGCAGTTACTCGGAAAGAAACGCCGAAGAGAAGAAAAAAACTACATGTCTAAACATAATTTATAGCCGTACAGTACATACGTAGTAGTTTAAAACGAAGATATCTATGTTTACGTAATGTAATAAATTCTCGAACTGCAGACACTACAAAATAGATACGTATATGCAGGATTTAATAAACTTTAAATATAAGTACTTTCGATTTATTAAAAGAGATATCGTTGACTTTCTGTAATATCCGTAATTTAATTTTAAAATAAATTCTTTATATAAAATAATAAAATTCTTTATATTTAAAGACTTTCGATAATTCGATCTAATCGTACTTTAACTATTAAAGTGATCGCTCTTTCTTTCGATTCTGAGATATATTTGTTCCTTTGGTAGTATGGTTAATTGATAATAGTTTACAGTACTTTATATTTGAAGTAAAATATATTAAACAAGGTATCGTATTATCGTAATTAGTTTGATTGAAGCAATTTGTTGAAACGAGCTAGGATCCAATTCTTTCTTATCATTATATCTTATTTCGCAGTTACGTAAATAGTAGTATGTGAGGTAATATGTCAGCCAGCTCGTGACCATGAATACATCGTTTTAATCGATTCATAAATTATGCTGTGCAAATCATTATACATTACGCATTAATCTTACA